TATCTAAGACTGGGTGCAAAGGAGAACAAGAGGGTACAGGGAGGTGTCGGTAACCGGGTGCACGGGTGTACTAGTTGGTAAGGGGAGGTACCGGTAACCGGGTGCACGGGTGTACTAGTTGGTAAGGGGAGGTATCTAAAGCCGGGTGCACGGGTGTACTAGTTGGTAAGGGGAAGTACCGGTAACCGGGTGCACGGGTGTACTAGTTGGTAAGGGGAGGTATCTAAAGCCGGGTGCACGGGTGTACTAGTTGGTAAGGGGAGGTACCGGTAACCGGGTGCACGGGTGTACTAGTTGGTAAGGGGAGATATCTAAAGCCGGGTGCACGGGTGTACTAGTTGGTAAGGGGAGGTACCGGTAACCGGGTGCACAGGTGTACTAGTTGGTAAGGGGAGGTGTCTAAAGCCGGGTGCACGGGTGTACTAGTTGCTAAGGGGAGGTATCTAAAGCCGGGTGCACGGGTGTCCTAGTTGGTAAGGGGAGGTGTCTAAAGCCGGGTGCACTAGTGTACAAGTTGGTAAGGGGGGTATCTAAGACTGGGTGCAAAGGAGAACAAGAGGGTACAGGGAGGTGACGGTAACCGGGTGCACAGGTGTACAAGTTGGTAAGGGAGGTATCTAAGACTGGGTGCAAAGGAGAACAAGAGGGTACAGGGAGGTGTCGGTAACCGGGTACACGGGAGTACAAGTCGGTAAGGGGAGGTATCTAAAACCGGGTGCACGGTAGTACAAGTTGGTAAGGGGGGTATCTAAAACCGGGTGCACGGGAGTACAAGTTGGTAAGGGGAGGTATCTTAAACCGGGTGCACGGGAGTACAAGAGGGTAAAGGGAGGTATCGGTAACCAGGTGCACAAGATTGGGACAGTCACTTATAATTATGCTTCAGATTGTTAAAAAAAATATGGTTTGCACAAAATCACATTGCTACAAGGTGTATTTCTTAATCAAACATTCGGGGTTCACCGTTTTTTATATCTGATTTAATAGCTAAAAAAATATCTAATCTTAATACAAAATACCAGGCACCCAATATTTATTTACAATTGTGTGGGCATCAAGACTTATCACCAAAATAAATGATGATGCACCACTGTTGTGAAACCCACGAGAACAGGTATGGTACTGACCAGGTATACCAATGTGTGTTGGAATCTTGATAAGAATCCACGAAAGCAGATCTTGGTAAGACCAAGGTGCATGACCCTGTAGAACACTCCGCTCAATGTAGCGATTGTATGCCACGACTATTATTATCTGGGTTAAAGAAATATAGCTGCCACCAGTGTAGCAATAACACCTCTTTGTGGAATGAGGTCCACAGTCAGTCTAAAGCATGGTATATTATGGATAATAATAATCATCGCAATGCCATCAAATTAACAACAAATGGGTGGCATTGACTTGACTTGTTCCTTCCAGAGTGGAGTGGTATATACTCAAGCTGGATGAATGGGTGCATACATGAATAACGAGAATGATCAGGAGGGTGATACAGGACTGTCGAGAGATGAAAAACACCCGCACACAAATATAGACTTGATTCCCGCCATACAGTTGGAGGGATACGTACTGACGTCATTGATGCCGTTGCAGGTGAAGTCCGAAGCCTGACAGGCCGTCAGTACCCAACTCTCGTCTTTGGCCAGACACTTGGGGTCGTTCCAGGGGTCACACACACCTGGGGTAGGAGATTTAACATTTGAAACAACTTAATGGTGTACGTAAAGTATGTTAATAATGTTTTCATTTTCGAAATTTTGGGGGAAATTTAACACCGAATCGCACCCTTTTCTCAATACTTTCTTAATAATGATATTTGTATTAAGTAGTATTCGGGATTCAGGGGTGAGCAATGAGAGTTACAAATTGGATAGTGTTCGGGATTCAAGGTAGGTTTCAACCCACTTAACTAGGTCTTGTGACACATCTCACACTCACCTGGGTGGGATAGCGTTGAACCGGTGGGGTTTGTCATTCCCTGTGACCAGGTACAGTTGGGGTCGCCCAGTTCCTGACCATTGGTCAATCCGTCACTGTCCGAATCTTTCTCACACAACGCTCTTGTCCATTCCTGGGGTGACAAAAAACGTTTTTACTGGGTGTTTTATTGCTTGGTTTACGAATCCCCTAACTTTAAAATTTACAAATGTGGAATGCAATTAAACTGAAGAGAGTTTTTATTCACGGGGCACGAGAGGCCAAGTCGCCAACTGACTTGCCTTTGCATGTGTTAATAACGGATGCCATCGGTAGGGCAGGATGCACTCACCTTTTCGCGAACATTGGATATCATCACTATTTGATAGTGATTTATAAACACATGCTCAAGTCATCGTCGGAATCGTCAAATAGACGCTACCACACCCCACACCCCACACCCCACACCCCACACCCCACCCAATCCCCAAGACACACACACACACACCACCGCTACCACGCCCCACACCACACCCAATCCCCAAGACACACACACACCACCGCAACCACACCCCACACCCCACCTAATCCCGAAGACACACACACACACACACACACACACACACACACACACACACACACACACACACACACACACACACACACACCACACACACCAGCCCCCACCCAATCCCCAAGACACACACACCCTCCACCGCTACCACACCCCACCCAATCCCCAACACACACAGACACACACCACACAACACCCAATCCCCAAGACACACACACACACACACACACACACACACACACACACACACACACACACACACACACACACACACACACACACACACACACACACACACACACACACACACACACACACACCACCGCCACCACCGACCAACCCAAACCCTCATTATTAAACGGTAGGTCCACAACTTGCACTCACCCTGCCATTGTCTGCAAAATCCTGTCCGAAGGTGTTCCTGACCCCGCCCCCCGCCATCAGCTTGTGCCCCACCCCTGCCCACGTCTCCCCGGGCTTGCAGGGGCTGGGGACATTGTGACCGTTGGGTATTTTATCTCGGTAGGGAGCGTACCCTGAGCCCGTGTGCAGCAGCGTCACGAGGAATAGTGCCCATCTGAAAACAGGAAACACAGTAAAATGTATATCATGTATAGCTAGGTCAATCATATATCGTCAGTCATGGGACACCTGTTGCGAAACTCTAATGTGTGTACAATGCATGAGTACGAAGCAGTAGTAAAGTGTCTTGTTAATATTGACAATTGGGTAAGCATAGCCAGGGAATAAGCTGGTCAATTTGTTCCCATCAGGGTTTAAGCTAGAAAGCTATGGTTGTGGTGGATCTGTAACGATACTTCCTACTGGTATATCAGGATCTACCTTGTCACCTCTGACAATACATGTCAAGACTCTTGTGATAGGGATAGACCCGCGACAGTGCGGGGGAGATCTGTAAAAGAGTGGGAGAGATCCGCGAAAGAGAAAACCCCTTGATACAGAATGATCCGTGATAAAGAGAGATCCGTGAAAGAGGGAACCCCTTGATACAAAATGATCCGTGATAAAGAGGGATCCGTGATAAAGACAAATCTTTGATAAGGATAGAACCATGATGGAGAGAACGCCTTGATAGAAACATGGAGTGATGGAGTGAGAACTTCTTCATTAGAAATCCTTGAAAATAAAGAGTGATCCGTTACAGAGAGATTTCCTTGAAATTAAGGAGAGATCCGTTACAGAGAGATTTCCTTGAAATTAAGGAGAGATCCGTTACAGAAAGATTTCCTTGAAATTAAGGAGAGATCCGTTACAGAGAGATGTCCTTGAAATTAAGGAGAGATCCGTTACAGAGAGATTTCCTTGAAATTAAGGAGAGATCCGTTACAGAGAGATTTCCTTGAAGTTAAGGAGAGATCCGTTACAGAGAGACTTCCTTGAAATTAAGGAGAGATCCGTTACAGAGAGACTTCCTTGAAATTAAGGAGAGATCCGTTACAGAGAGATTTCCTTGAAATTAAGGAGAGATCCGTTACAGTGAGATTTCCTTGAAATTAAGGAGTGATCCGTTACACAGAGACTTCCTTGAAATTAAGGAAAGATCCGTTACAGAGAGATTTCCTTGAAATTAAGGAGAGATCCGTTACAGTGAGATTTCCTTGAAATTAAGGAGTGATCCGTTACAGAGAGACTTCCTTGAAATTAAGGAGAGATCCGTGATAGAGAGATTTCCTTGAAATTAAGGAGTGATCCGTTACAGAGAGACTTCCTTGAAATTAAGGAGTGATCCGTTACAGAGAGATTTCCTTGAAATTAAGGAGAGATCCGTTACAGAGAGATTTCCTTGAAATTAAGGAGAGATCCGTTACAGTGAGATTTCCTTGAAATTAAGGAGTGATCCGTTACAGAGAGACTTCCTTGAAATTAAGGAGAGATCCATGATAGAGAGATTTCCTTGAAATTAAGGAGAGATCCGTTACAGAGAGATTTCCTTGAAATTAAATAGAGATCCGTTACAGAGAGATTTCCTTGAAGTTAAGGAGAGATCCGTTACATTGAGACTTCCTTGAAATTAAGGAGAGATCCGTTACAGAGAGACTTCCTTGAAATTAAGGAGAGATCCGTTACAGAGAGATTTCCTTGAAATTAAGGAGAGATCCGTTACAGTGAGATTTCCTTGAAATTAAGGAGTGATCCGTTACACAGAGACTTCCTTGAAATTAAGGAGAGATCCGTGATAGACAGATTTCCTTGAAATTAAGGAGAGATCCATTACAGAGAGACTTTCTTGAAATTAAGGAGAGATCCGTTACATTGAGATTTCCTTGAAATTAAGGAGAGATCCGTTACAGAGAGATTTCCTTGAAATTCAGGAGAGATCCGTGATAGAGAGATTTCCTTGAAATTAAGGAGAGATCCGTTACAGAGAGATTTCCTTGAAATTAAGGAGAGATCCGTGATAGAGATATCCCTGACAAGGAGAAATCTGTAGTAGAGAGGTCATCTTGACAAGGAAACATCCGTTATCGAGATAACGAAATGATAGCTCTTTGTCATACACTGTTCGGTTATTATATGGTTAATATTTCAGTAAAAGCAGCTCCAACTCGATTCGCTCACTCTAATGTTTGACGTTTTTATCATTTATGGAAACAATGAGAATCGTAATAAATCGTGCTTTCTCCAGTACATACAAAGCTCATATGCCCCAGGCAAAATTGCCAAGCTCGGCCCGAACATGCTCATGAGATCCAGTACAACTGTAAAGATGAGCGAGAATTTGTGATTTAGCAGGGGACAGGGGAAACCATTAATTGTTTCATACGTTTTACCGTTGTGGGGAATCAAACCCAGACCTTTAGCGTGACGAGTGAACGCTTTACCTGCAAGGCTTCCCCGCCACAAGGTTAAGATGAAAAACACCTTGTTGGTGTTTACAAGGGATTGATAACACGGATTATGTTGTATGGTTGCACATCTCCAGAAACCAGAAGCTATGCATTTCAAAGTTATTTTGCAGAAACTTAATCACTTTTAGAATACACAAAATCTACAATTTGCTTAGTTTAAGTGATCCAAATCGTTTGCCTCACCCCACCCCCTAAACATTTTTAATAATTTGCATCCTTTCGTACTTGGCATGCGGACACGTGAAGATTCCGGCGTAGAATAGGTCTTCAGCAACCCATGCTTGCCGTAAAAAGGCGACTATGCTTGTCGTAAAAGGCGACTAACGGGATCGGGTGGTCAGGCTTGCTGACTTGGTTGATGCATGTCATCGATCCCAATTGCGTGGATCGATGCTCATGATATTGAACACTGGATTGTCTGGTCCAGACTCGATTATTTACAGACCGCCGTCATATGGCTGGAATATTGCTGAGTGCGGCGTTAAACAACAAACCAACAACCAACTTGGCATGCGTGAAGGATGTTTTGTGTCCGTTAGCCGGATAATTCGACACAAAGAGGATGCCTATGTCAGCGGACTTCAACTATGATATTTCTCTGGTGACATACGATCTGGTGACATGTCGGTTTTGTAGACAATTTAGGTACGTGATGGTTTTTTTTGCAGTGAGTGTTCCAAGTGTCATTTCAAAGATGGAACTTCGTACCACCTTGGGGGGCAAGGGTGGCCCAGTCGTCTAAGGCGCCGCGATTCGCTGTGCAGAGTTGCGTCCCTTGGGCACACCAGAAACCTATGATTGTGGGTTCGAATCCCGGTTCGCCTCGATTATGTTTCTAGGTTTGTCAGCACCATACCCGTGCTCGTGGGTTTCACCGAAGTGGTTAACGTTTGAGACCTCCATCACTTCGGGCTTTCCTCCCACATTAAGCTGACTCGCCGCGATATGACTGGAATACTGTTAAAAGCGGCGTTAAACCCAACTCACTCACTCACTCACTCGTACCATCTTGTAGTGTCCAAGTCTGAGAGATTTTGTCTGCTTGTGAGATCCACATTAGCACATGCGAACTTTGGGGATAGAAGAAACACAACTGTTTATGTCGTAAAGCATAAGTAGTTAGTCTAAACCAGATCTGTTGATCATGTTACATATCCATATTCTGGGCGAATGAAAATAAAAGCGACAAAACCCTTTCCATGTTCATAAGAAATCTCTGCTTAAAGCAGAGTCGTTTGTACAATTCCGACTACATCATGGGAATGTGCCTATACATCACTATCAAATACAGTAAACTACGGTTATAACGAACACGCTTATAACGAACTGACGGATATAACAAACTACTTTTTTGGTCCCGATAATTAGCTGTATTATGCTGTATATATGCTTATAAAGAACTACGGTTATAACGAACTAAAATTAGTAGTCCCTTTGAGTTCGTTATAACCGTACTTTACTGTAGTGATGGTACCAGGGTGTCGTACACAAAGCGATCGTAACTCCCATACCGTTACATAGTCTTGCGACAGTCTCAGCGCTAAGGTGATCATAACTCCCGTACCGTTACATAGACCTGAGACAGTCTCAGCGCTAAGGTGATCGTAACTCCCATACCGTTACATAGACTTGCGACAGTCTCAGCGCTAAGGTGATCATAACTCCCGTACCGTTACATAGACTTGAGACAGTCTCAGCGCTAAGGTGATCGTAACTCCCATACCGTTACAAAGTCTTGCGACAGTCTCAGCGCTAAGGTGATCGTAACTCCCGTACCGTTACATAGACTTGCAACAGTCTCAGCGCTAAGGTGATCGTAACTCCCGTACCGTTACATAGACCTGAGACAGTATCAGCGCTAAGGTGATCGTAACTCCCATACCTTTACATAGACTTGCGACAGTCACAGCGCTGAGGTGATCGTAACTCCCGTACCTTTACATAGACTTGCGACAGTCTCAGCGCTGAGGTTGTTTTGTACAACAGCGGTCTTCGCGAAACCCATTATACACCTTCACGAGGCGGAATGCAGTGACGTCAGAACACTTTATAATTATGCCGACTCCTATTGTGAACAGGGACACAATCACGGGCGAGACACAGAGTGTACTCAACGGTGCATTGAGAACAGGCTGTCACAGTTGTAGTGTCAGAGCCGAGGGCGATATATATGCATAATGTGTCGTGGTGACAAGTCATTTCAATGTCTAAGGTAAAGAGTGTTAGGTGTGGCCTTGGAAGATATATATAGGTCTATTTCAGAATTCGTAAGACAATCAAGACGACGTTGGACAGAATATAAAGCCTGCGTATCAGTTTCCAATATAGTGGTGAAATAATGTGTAATTAGAAACGACAGTTGTAATAATTTCAAACAACGATTTTAAATAGATTTGTTTGAGAAATATAGGGTGATCTTAACATTCCATCTCTGCCGTTTGAAAGTTGCTCCATATCAAATATCTCACATTTGTACAACATTGCTCCCAATCTGATAATTTTGTAAGTTGACGATTTGAACTGACTGTAAATAATATAATTGATGATGTGTTGGCTGACAACATTCCCCAACAACTCACCATAACGAACCTACCTGCCTTGTGCTGTACATATATACAGTGTGCATGTTTTAAACTGTTGTATGACATCCGACTGTTGAATCAGATTAAAACGAGACGGTTGGGAACAACGAATACTAAACAATCTTCAGCAGCAACATTCCTATTGACATTACGCACACTGTGAAAATCGGCCCATGAACAAGACCGTGAAGATATTTTGTATCATTATAGGTTATTGTACTAGTATACCCATTCATATTGCAAAATTAATCGAGTAAAATGTAAATGAAGAAAGATCTTCACGTTAAATAATCTCGTCTAGACCTGACAATTCAGTGATTCACATCTTGACTATCAATCCAACGAAATGATACGATGACATTCAATCAAGCGATTCACCGGTCCTGTCCACCAAATCCATTTACTCGCCTCCTAAACGAACATAGGTTCTTGGGGATCTATATTCTTGATGGTGTTACTATATAACAGTACCAACGATCTAGAAGAATGTTGAATTTGTGGATGTATTCACAGATTACATTGCTTATAATGTAAATGCTATCAAAACTGCCCAGTCTGGACGTTTATCAGGCGGAATTTCACTATTAATTAGAAAATCATTAAAATCTTGTATAAAGTATATGCATATTGGTGAAAATGCGGTATTCATTGCATTTAATAAGTCCTTATTTGTTCATGAAAAAGATATCTTGTTGTGTTCAGTTTATATTAACCCAGATGGGTCGTCATGGTATGACAGTAAGAACTGTAGATACATGTGGTATCACTTTATTTCAAGAAGATTTATTTGATGTCCTGCAGAAAGTGGGCGATGTTGATATAATTCTTGGTGGCGATTTTAACGCTCGGACAGGCACAGATGTGGATTTTGTAAATGATGATATAGCCGAACACTTAAATCTAAATTTCTTTGATTTTATGTGTGATAGTCTCAATATTACTAGTCATTCATGTGACAAAAAAATCAACAAGTATGACCGAAAATTGTTGGATCTCTGTGCAACTTTGAATCTGAATATATTAAATGGAAGAGTGGGTCGTGATGCAGGTACAGGTGATTTTACATATATCAGTTCCACAGGAACAAGTGTGATTGACTATATTATTGCTTCCAGCAACCTGTTTTCTTTGTGTGATAGCTTTAATATTGTTTCGAGAGGGGAATCCCCCCACTTACCGGTCTCATGTTCATTTCAATCACGTGTTCAGTCGGCAGCACATGCAGAGAGGCAAGAAGCACGTGCTGGTGCAAGTGCCAGTTATAAATATATGTGGGACACTGACAAGCTGTCTGATTTTAGGGACAACCTTATGTCACCAGGTATTTTAAATATGTTAATGTCATGCTCTGACGTAGCTATGACTGATATTGATGCAGCTATAGACAAACTTACCACAGCTATATGCTCCGCAGCTGACTGTATGAAAAGGGATCTGTCCATAAAACCGAAGTCACAACCTTGGTATGATAAGGAATGTGTTTACTCCAGGATGGAAAGAGATAGACTTTTGAAAGTATTCAGACAATCAGGGACAATATATCTCTTCAGAACTTTATTACAGCCCGTAATCTGTACACAACTATTCTTAGGAACAAAAAGAGACTGTATGCTGAGAAGATTAGAGTTAAATTATTGTCACACATTAATAATGCTAAAGATTTTTGGAGAATATTGAGAGATTGTTTATCATCTAGTAATAATATATCACCTATATCTACAATTATGTGGTTATGAGCATTTTAATGATTTGTTTAATAGTTCTGTTTATTCGACAGACCCACATGAAGATGCTAGTGAAGTTGACAATGAGTGTTTTGATGACGTTGTTAAACCATGTGGAAATACCTTAACTGATGATGTCTCTAAGAATAATTTAGATTCACCTATCTCCCGAGAGGAAATATTAAAAGCAATTTCACAGCTTAAATGTTCAAAGTCTGCAGGGTTGGATCATATAATACCAGAGTTCTTTGTGGCTGCTCAGGATATTTTAGTCCCATATATTGAACTTGTCTTTAATATTATTTTTGACACAGGTAGCTTTCCACAATCTTGGTGTACTGGCATAATAATTCCATTACATAAGAAAGGTGATACCTCCCTACCCAATAATTATAGAGGAATAACTTTATTGAGTGTATTTAATAAACTTTATACTTCAATTTTAAATAACAGGCTATCCTTTTGATCCAGTGCATATGATAAAATGGTGGACTCCCAAGCTGGTTTTCGGAAAGAATACAGTACAATAGACAACATTTATATTTTACAAGCAGTCATTCAGCGTTATTTAGCAAAAAAGCATGGCAAAATTTATGCATTATTTGTAGATTTTAAAAAGGCTTTTGACCTTGTTGATCGGTCTAAATTGTGGTCTATATTAATGCAGCAGGGTGTATCCACCAAGTTTTTACTTTCTTTAAAGTCTATATATAAGTGTGTTAAGGCTAGTGTAAGGTCAAATAATATTTTCTCTGAAGAATTTCATTGTCCTCTTGGCTTAAGGCAGGGATGCGTCTTAAGTCCATTATTATTTTCTATGCTTATAAATGAGTTGGCAATGGATATAGAATTATCTTGTTCAACAGGCATACAGCTTCATCCTGAACTTATTCAACTATTTTTGTTATTATTTGCAGATGATGTTGTTTTGCTTTCTGACACTGTATATGGTCTTCAGAAACGTATTGATACGTTAAAATATTTTTGTGATACCTACCATTTGTGTGTTAATCTGGAAAAAACTAAAGTCATTGTTTTTAAAAAAGGTGGTGTTTTATCAAAGTATGAGAAATGGAACTTTGATGGTTTCAGTATTGAGTTTGTAACCTCGTACAAATATTTAGGTTTATCTTTTACAAGAACTTTATCATGGGGTAAACTTGTTAAGGTTGCAGCACTACAAGCTAAGAAAGTACTATGTGGCATACTGAAATCTCTGTCCAACTTTAAGCCCATACCCTTTGATTTATTTTTTAAAATATTTGATACCAAAATTAGCCCAATTTTGCTATATGGAGCAGAAATATGGGGTCTGAGTCCTGAAATTTGTAATGATATTGAAAGTATCCATATGATGGCTTGTAAGCGCTTTTTAGGTGTTAAGGTCTCCACCTTAAATCACGTTATAAGAGGTGAATGTGGCCGATATCCTCTATACATTTATGCTTATAAAAGAGTTGTTAAATATGTGTGCAACATTTTGAAAATGCCAGAATCTAGATATGTAAAGAAATGCTATAATATGCAACTGCAAGCTGTAAGGAATGGTAAACTAAACTGGGTTTCCAAAATTAGACACATAATTGTGTCAGCAGGATTTGGTTTTATATGGGATCCACAGTGTGTTGCAAATATACCTTTGTTCATAAAGGATTTTTTTGTGAGGCTAAAATTATCGTACCAACAAGTCTGGCATTCATCTATACGAGAAAGTTCGAAATCATATTATTATTCTTTGTATAAGCAAACATTTGGTGTTGAAATGTATATTACAAGGCTATCATGTGATAAATTTAGAATTATTATGGCACGTTTCAGATGTAGTTCTCTAAGAATTGAATCAGGTAGACATAACAAGGAACCTAGAGAAGAAAGAGTTTGTACTGTTTGTAAACATGGTTATATCGAAGATGAGGATCACTTTATTTTAATTTGTGATTGTTATCAAGCTTTGAGGTCAGAATATATATCCTTGCATTATTATGAGTTCCCAACAAGACATAAGTACAATATTTTAATGTCATCCACCAACCCATTTACTGTTAAGAAACTAGCCATGTATATTCTGAAAGCTATGAATCTAAGGCAAAGTCTGTTGGGATCTCCAACTCCCATTACCACACTGTAACCATTGTATCATGGGCCTATGGCCTACAAAACATCTGAATAAAGTGTATGTACATTTAGAAGAATGTGAATCAGTTGACTTGCGACCTTACCGCACTGTGGAAGTTTAAGACCATCACATGCGTTTGTTTAACGCCGCTGTCGACATACTCCTACTCATCTTCCACATCCTCTTGCACAATGTTACTGGCAGAGTGTGGCGACCCGCTAGGCAGCTGATGACAAGGAAACGACTGCTTAAGACCACGTCGAACACGGGCCCCACCGTACATGTAATAAATATGGACGTTTAAAGAAAAGGCTTAAAAGATGTCGTATAGTCCCCATAGAGCTCCAATAGAGGTGTGTTCAATAGAGGCTGATTATTAATCAGCCGTGACTGGCATATGTGCTTCGTGAACCCGCGGAGTTATAGCCACACAAGACCCAGACAGTAAACAGTCAGGTCGGGGTGGTCCTCTGTCACTATCAGTGTACAAGTTTAACCTAGTTACCCTTTATACTTTACAGTAAAACAGTAAAGGTAACACATATCAATCGGAACCTACCTGGACGAGATGACAGCCACGCCCAACATGCTACAGGTTCTGCACCTCGACCGGTTGTAATGATCAAAAGGTACCAGGATGTATACGTACTTTGTCACTCTGCTCGTGATACAACGTGACCTCTCTCTCTGTACAAAGAGGTAAACACAAGGGGCTTTTCATGGTGACGAGGCGTTGGTACATTTCGCAATATTGTACGCGCTTATGACGATGTGTGTTTCCTATCTGCATGTTCGTATTAGCAAGATCGGCATTATGGGTATAAATTTTGTATATTGTGTCTGAGTGGGGTATCCATGTTAAACTGCGGCATGGTATCTCAGTGGGCTAGCACTTTTAAACCGAAATCAACAGCCACACACACGCACATACACACACTCACGTGCATGCACGTCGCTATATAACTGCAATAATCGTGACAGCGACTTTAACCCTCACCTCACCTCACCTCACCTCACCTCACCTCTGTTTACAATTGTGCCTGGACCAGACAATTATGCATATCGATGAGGGATAAGATGACATGCATCAACCATCCTCTCAGTCGCCTCTTACGACAAAAAGGGGCGGTCGGGTAGCCAAGTGGTTAAAGCGTTCGCTCGTCACGCCGAAGACCCGGGTTCGAATCCCGACATGGGTACAATGTGTGAAGCCCATTTCTAGTGTTCCCCGCCGTGATATTGCTGGAATATTGTTAAAAGCGGCGTAAAACCATACTCACTCACTCACTCTTACGACAAGAATAAGTTGAAGGATCTAACCAGGATGTCAACAGGGGCAGTGTCAATTGGGCTGAAGTCATTTTGTTGTATATATGTTATATGTTAATGCAACATATCAAGTACATTCCGAGACACATGTATAAGACATTTACAATGAGATCGAACATTTTCAAATTCAGTCAGTTCTTGGCAGAAAATTCTTTACGTGTTTTTCACTTTTTCGCGTGTTCTCTCGCAAACATGTAACAGACGATTAACATTTTCTGCATACACTGTTGTATTAATGTTATGTGTTTTAGATAGACTTCATCGAAAAGAAATTATACCTATATCTATATTTTCAGTTGGTAAAGTTTCTTTTGGACGTCAGTTTAGTACATGTTTGATCATTGAGTGAGGCCATCATATGGATGGAATGTTGCTCAGTGCGGCGTTAAACAATAAACAAATCATGCCCTAGCAAACTCTAATCGATCAGTGAACGGGACGCAGCAGGCACCTCGCGAAGGCGATTATTGAGGGTAACGTACCTTTGGTTACGATTTGTGAAAGGGCTGATTGTGTGTCACCTTGCCCGAGATCATGGTTTGTTGCTCATGTCGTCATCCACTGGTTTGCCTGGGCTATACTCGACCTACAGGCCGTCAAGGTTTATCTGGAAAATTTCATTCACTCGACAGTTACCCCTTTTAGAAAAGTCTGTGAACTAGTGAGTAAGTTTGGTTTTACGCCACTTTTAGCAATATTCCAGAAACATCAGTGCGAGGGACACCAGCAATGGGCTTCACACATTGTGCCAATGTGGAGAATCGAACCCGGGTCTTCGGCGTGAAGAGTGAACGCTGTAACCCCTAGACTACCCCACCGCCCTCTCTGTACTAGCATGTTAGCGTGTCTATATACGCACTGCTGAGTCAACTTATTCCATAGACCAGTAGACGTAACACTGTAATCACACACCCTTATTCCTAGGAAATTACCAAAATGAATAAATAATATTGCCTCATTCGCAACACACGTTACATCTGTCATAATAAATTCTATTATCATACATGAACGCCAGAGAACAATCAGTCTAGAATGTATTTAGAAAGCGGACTCCATGGGGCGTACAAGACAAAGCAAGGATGAGAAAAGATAAATAGATCTGTGGATATGAAAACCAGTGATGACAGCAGGTCGAAATGGGTAAGCATGTCCTGCTCTACCGGCAGCACCCTCCACTCACACAATGTGCTGCAGACACGTTTGTTTTGTTTGTTAGTTTGTTGTTTAACGCCGCAGTCAGCAATAGTACAGCTATATGATAGCAGTCTGTAAATAATCGAGTCTGGAACAGACAATCCAGTGACTGACATCATGAGCATCGATTTAGGCAATTTGGATACGATGACATCCATCAACCATGTCAGCGAATCTGACCACCCGATTCCGTTAGTCGCCTCTTACGACAAGCATGGTCGCCTTTTACGGCAAGCATGGGTTGCTGAAGACCTAGTCTACCCGGATCTAGCGAGTGAGTGAGTTGGGTTTAACTCCGCTTTGAACAACATATCAATTGTACCATTGCGCGTCAGTTTGCTGTGTGTAGGGAAACCTGAAAGGGAAGGTCTTAGACATTTACACTGTTGGTGAAACCCGCGAGCACGGGCATGGTGCTGACGAACTTAGAAACATACTCAGGGCGAGCCGGGATTCGAACCCACAGTTAGGTTCCTGGCGTGGCTAAGAGCTACAACTGTGCACAACGAATTGCGACGCCTTACACCACTGGCCCCGAGAGCCCCCGAGTGCCCCCGAGTGCCCCCGGAGTTTCTCGAAAGGGTAACAACCTACTTCGTCATACAGAAAGTCTAATTAACAATATTTCATTTGTATGAGTAACTCACTCATCCTCGAATTAGAATTAAGAATTAAGAAATCCCTTTAAAAACAGTATGACATACAAAACACTCGTCATACGCGCCGTGCTGTCACCTGTAGTATGAAATAGGGGTTTCCAGGATAGCGGGATGATGATTAACGGGGTTTCCAGGCTAACGAGTTCTCTTAATGAGTTTTCCTATAAGTTTTACTTAGACAGTTAGAAGTTTTCCAGACAAACAGGGGTCCTGAAAAAAGGTTTTCTCAAATAAAGGGGGTTTCAGACTGATGTTTTTGACCAAAGCGAATTCAGCATCAAGGGGTTTCCTAATAACCCGATTTCACAGTATGTGACTCATTCAGTTTAATCTGTATTGCAATAAATAAAAGCGACAAAACACTTTCCACATTAAATAGCACGATTCCGACGATATCTTGAGCATGTGTTTTTGAACCATGATCAAATAGTCATGATACAAGGTGTTCGCGAAAAGGTGAGCGTATCCTGCCCAACACCCCTCACAAACACATGCCAAGGCAAGTCAATTGTTCACCTAAAGAAACACGGGAACATATGGTACAGGTCAAAATAGGGAATTGCATCGGACATCATGTTTGTCACTGATGAGTCAAATTTCGAAATATATGTCCTCGATATATGTCTATCTTAAAACTGTTTGAAAGCTTTACTGAGGCCTTGAGTGTTGTAACCTTGATCAAACAACTTCTGAGCAAGAGTCGTAAGACGCTCTTTGAAATCTTGGTAGAAAGAGCATGCTCGATTGTATCTCAAAAGTTGTGAAATGTAGACACCAAGGCTGGAGCTGCTGGAATATTGCTCGACATGAACGGGAAGTTGACTATTGGAAGGTTGAAGTCATCCCTCTTGTCGTACAGTCTTGTGGAGAGTGTTTTGTCACTCTGAATCATTATGAATAGATCTGAATATGAAACCGATGAGGCGGTCTCATTGGTCGGCTTTATTACTAGTTCAGGTCATAAAATTTGTTTTTGTTGTTGTTGTTGTTGTTGTTGTTGTTGTTTAACCCTGCAATATACCAGCAGTCTGTAAATAATCGAGTCTTGACCAGACAACCCAGTGACTACCGGAGGTGGACTCTTCAATGACAGATGCTTAACGAATCATGACTCAAGATATAGTAGATATCTCATTTCTCCATATACAGCGACCACAGATAAACTGTCCGTCCCAGCCCTACACTACTGTAGTCGCTTGAATGACAAGGAAGTCAATATTGGGAAACGTGTCAAGCTGTACATCCTGCAGAACCCCGTCAACACATACATCGGATAACACGTGGTGTTGCAACCCCTCCCTGACCAGGCTATCCTTGTCACCCAGTCAGTGTATTGTTTAAAACCACAGATGAATGTGTTGTAGTTACCAAGGGAGGTTGGCGTAGCGTGTTCATCTTACAGCAGTCAAAGGCTGGAGTACTCTGTGACGTGAAGACACTGACGAGGTGTGGCTGAGGATGGGAGATAAGATTAATGTTATCCTGTTGTGGCTGGTTTGACACGAAATATGCTTTTTATGTTGTTTGCTGTTGGTCTGCAAGACTAAGTGCGCCATGAAACTATTGCGAGTGTGTGTCGCTGGCAGTTTTCGAGGTACTCTCTAGCTCGCAAAACCTTCCAGATGTACATCACCATCGAATGACCGTTTCTTTTTTGTTTCATGTTAAGCCACCATCAAACATGGGTGTATACTTTCTTTTGTCCGTCAGTTTATACCTAGTGATTTAAGAGTATGTACTCATTGTACTTTGATCGAGTTTAAAGATGAATGTCATATGTTTTTTGTTGCAAATATAATGAAATAATAAGAAAACTATACCGAACGATAATGTTATGTACATCTGAATAAGGATAAATTATCTTAATCAATGGCAGGTACCACCTACAAGATAACTCGTAACCTTATGTGGTTTTCATGTTACGTCATTAAGTAATTCACCTACAGCTACTTACGTACAGTTGAATTATTGACTTGCCTTTGCAAGTGTTTGTGACTTGAACGCCTGGTATTATCATTATTTGATAGTGATTCGTAAATACGTGCTTGTGGCATAGTCAGTATCGTACAATGATATCTCCTTTCAGGTGAGATTTTTTTATGAAATCGTGCATCACAAATGTACAGTTACGGAGAGGGCAACTTTGATTCGAAACAAAAAAAATTCAAAACATCTAACGAATGTAGAACGGAAGTCCCAGAGAGTCTCAATTGTCAACAACAACAATAACAACAGGAAAACAACTGGACCACACCTGGTTATGACTGTGAAGGTCACGGTGACCTCGTGGATCAATATCACGAATACATGTTGATAATGTTTAAAAGCATGAGGCCTGGATCACACGTCCCGTTATACATCACTTAACTGAAAAGCTGCAGATGTTGCCATATTTGCCTATATAGATGGATTATGATACGTCGTCCCCGAGCCAGTGTCACGTTGTGATCAGGAAGATTCAAAGAAGGACCACACCCCCAGGCGAGTGACTCACCCGTACCAGTACCCGTAACGTGACATGAATGGCTTCTACTA